TAGTTGTCCGATTAATTTCTTTCTATTTTTAGTAGAGACAGGGTCTCGCTCTTGCTCAGGCTGGTTTCGAACTCCTGAGCTCAAATGATCAACCCGCCTCGGCCTCCCAGAGTGCTAGGATTACAGGCTTGAGCCACCGCGCCTGGCCCATCTGATTTTCTTGAGTAAATGCTTCCTGGATTGCTGCAAGCTTTTATTTGATTTCCAGATTTCTGACAAAATGGCTCCTACAATTTTTGCCAGTTTTCTCATTGCTTTTATGGAGGAGAGAATTTTCAGAGGTCCTTACTGCACCATTTTCAGTAGTATCCCTTTAGCAGATATCCTTGAATAAATCTTTCTTAAATTGTTGTATGCCCTTTGGCCAATTTCAAGAGTATTTCAATGGTTGCTTTTTGATACTTTTGTCAGTTTTATCATTGGTTTTTGTTTGTTTGAGACAGAATCTCGCTCTGTTGCTGGGGCTAGAGTGCAGTGGCATCATCATAGCTCACTGCAACCTCAAGCTCCTGGGTTTAAGCAGTCCTCCTGCCTCAGCTTCCCACATAGATAGGACTAGAGGCACACACCACCAAGGCCAGTTAGTTTTTTAATTTTTTTTGTAGAGATGAGGTCTTACTACCTTGCTCAGGCTGGTCTTAAACTCCTGGCCTCTTAAGTGATCCTGCCACCTCAGCCTCCCAAAGTGTTGGGATTACAGTTGTGAGCCACTGCACCCAGCCATATTGTTTTTTGAGGAAAGGATTTGGCTGAGCCCTTCACACAATCATTCCAGAAGTCCTGCCCATCAATTTTAGAATTTAACACCCAACTAACTATAACCCCACTGAAGATAAAGGGAAAAATATGTTTTTAGAAAAAGTTGGAACACTTTTGTCATCTATTAACCTTCACTAGAAGTAATATTAAAGGCTATATACTTCAGCAGGATAAAAAAAAAATGTAGAGGGAAGCAAGGCATTAGATACAAGAGACTATGTTAGGTGTTAAATCCTCTATCACTGAGTAGTAGTGACAGGAAGAGGGAGAATTTTAATGAGATCCTCTTATATCTAACCCAGTTGCAGCTGGCACTATATCTCTGTTCAATGTGTTATAAAAATGGGATTCTAATGATCATATCTAAAACATATTAATAGTGCAAATAAGATCTTGCATGGCAATCCTGCATTAAACGAGTCCTTTTAGTTATAACTCATGTTTAATGGAAGAAAAAGTATATTTCTGAATAACAAAGGTTTTGTCTTTAACAGGTGAGAGGAATGACATGTGCCTCTTGTGTACATAAAATAGAGTCTACCCTCACAAAACTCAAAGGCATCTTCTATTGCTCTGTGGCCCTGGCAACCAACAAAGCACATATTAAATATGATCCAGAAATTATTGGTCCCAGAGATATTATCCATACAATTGAAGTAAGTGCCAAGAATTTGCATTTGTGTTTCCTTACCTATTCAATCAGCATTTCCTCTGGTTTGCATCAGATAGAGACAATAAAAAAAGCTGACCCCTTTGAATACTCCAGACAAGATCTATCTCAAAATTTAATGTAAATGTGTCTGCCTTTTTTTCTTGGTCTTTGTTAGGAGAAGTTAGGCAAGGTATATTTGCAGGGGAAGACTTAAGTTAGAACCAAAAATCATTTAAAAATATTTAGAAAATGGAAATAAAGTATAATTTGTTATGAATAAGATTTGTGTTAATCACTAAGAAAGTGAAGCATCCTGCTAGGTGCCTTATCATTTCTTAGGTCAACCAAAAGATCTATTTTTTAGTTAAAGTAAGAAATTTAAAAGACCATACCCTTTCTTTGTGACAGAGTCATCCTTTGTTCTTCACTAAATCTTAAGTGCTAACACATGAATGTGCTTTAAAAGTTTCAATGTGCTATAAAACTGGTGTTCTAATTATCTAAAAGGTATTAATAGTTCAGATAAGATCCTATTAGTATAGAGGACAATACCATTAACATTTTTGTGAAACTAGCATTATCGAGTGCCTATGACATGCCAGTTACCAAGATTGCAAAGTTTCAACCCTTAATTTCTACAGCAGTGTCATCATCTCTTCATTTTGAAGGTGAAGATACTCAGGTTAAGAGAAATTACATTACTTATCCATAGTCACATAGCTAGTAACTTTTGTAACTGGGATTTGAGCCTAATCACTCTGACTCCAAAGCTCATGCTTGCCGTTTTTGCTGTGCTACACTGCCAACAAATGTAAGATGGCAGCATTTTCCCCAGCAGTTGAAAATGTAAAATATATTACTGTCTATGCTCAGATAAGTCTTAACTAGGTGTAGTTTTCTTTTTATACTTTGTTTTATTGGGGGAAATGATTTTTGTTGATGTTCTTTTTCTGATAGAAGAAGAGTAAAGACTACATAAGCAAGGTCTTGAATAATATATTTAGTATGGTATTAGTTTTTGTGGCCTATTAATGAGAACCTGTACTGAGGATAATTACACTTTAGTTAACTTAGTTTGAGAAAAATAGGGTAGACATTAAGTAGAATGAAGGAAATATTAATTTCTCTGATGAAAGATTAGAAACAAAGGTAATCAAGAGCAGGAAACATGTCTTCATCTTTGCATTCTCCAGAGTGACTTGCACTCAGTAATTGAACTGAGTTGTTCTTAATGACAATACCATGGCCTAGGATATCTCTACATAATATTTATACACTCAGCAAAATAATTTTTTCTCATGAATTTCTTTAGAGTCTAGGTTTTGAAGCTTCTTTGGTCAAGAAGGATCGGTCAGCAAGTCACCTAGACCATAAACGAGAAATAATTCAGTAAGTACTTTCGGCGTGTCGGTAAAAAACAGATTCTGACTCCTCATTGCAGATTTAACATCCTTTTAGCATGTTAGTTTTTACGATATTGTCCTTATACTGGGTGGAGTGGTCACAACTTGTATTTCTCTATAGTACATAGAATCTTTAGCCAATAGCTACTTATGAAAATGATTTTTCTTTTCTTATTTTTTCTATATAAGATGGAGACGGTCCTTTCTTGTAAGCCTGTTTTTCTGTATTCCTGTAATGGGGCTGATGATATATATGATGATTATGGACCACCACCTTGCAACTTTTCACCATAATCAGAACATGAGTGAAGAAGAAATGATCAACATTCATTCTTCCATGTTTCTGGAGCGGCAGATCTTGCCAGGATTGTCCATTATGAATTTCCTGTCCTTTTTATTGTGTGTACCTGTACAGGCAAGTGAAATGTTAGCAAGTATATTTGTTAATAATGCAAAACAACCAAAATGTGGCAGGCAAGGTTATTTTCAATTGCAAAACAGATATTAACCAGAAGTCCGATCATTTTATGGGGGATGCTTTACAAAAATAATCTTAAACTGAGTAGTTAAAGTAGATAATAGATTTCATTTAACCCCTAAGAATATTGTTTAATGGCAAAGCAGAGAATCAATTCAAGTTTTTTGGATTTGGTATTCATATCTGCTACTGTATATGACTTTATATTTGTTTTTTCTCCCTGGCACTTTGTTCATCACTTTCTGTATGTTTTCAACTCCTCTTTTGAGATAAACTTTTACTGTGGAATTAAACACTCCCAGCAAATAGATCTATTCCTTCATCTGATCCTTATAAAAGGCAATAGTGATTTAAAAACATCTAAGTTTATTTCTGTATACTAACAAAATAAGCTTTCCTGTTATGTTTACCAACAAAACTAGCAAACAGATCTGATAGTTGTGACATACAACTTAGGTTGAGTTTTGGAAAGGGGGGGTGAGTTTTATATAAAAAATTCTTGACAAAACAATGTAATTATTTTCCTAGTTCTTGTTTTTGCTAACCTGAAAAAGAAAAATCCAAGAACTGTCTGACTTTCTTTATATTATGGAATATCCATTGGATCATAGAGGATAGCCCCCAAGAACTTGCACAGCAATTTGAATCATTCCCTCTGCACACACATCTGCTAAAATACAAACGCTATTGTTTCAGATTAAAATCTCCCCTTAGTGTTTGTGGATTAGCTAAAAGCCAAAAGAAGTGAATATTGATACGTTAAGTTATTGAGATATATAAGTGAATGTCAGCATTTTAAAAAATTCAGTGATTATTGTTCCTATGTTGCAGTGTTTTGGAGGCTGGTACTTCTACATTCAGGCTTACAAAGCACTGAAGCATAAAACAGCGAATATGGATGTACTGATTGTGCTGGCAACCACCATTGCATTTGCCTACTCCTTGGTTATTCTTCTGGTTGCAATGTATGAGAGAGCCAAAGTGAACCCTATTACTTTCTTTGATACACCTCCTATGCTATTTGTATTTATTGCACTAGGACGATGGCTGGAACATATAGCAAAGGTAAAGTAAGAAAGGGTGATATTTGTTAAAATGTTGGGTAGATAAATGACCATAATATTTTTTAGACCAATTGTTGGAAATATATGTTGATTTCTGTAGTTAACCACTTACTGAAAGAAGTATTTTTGTTTTAGCAATATTTTTAAGTTAAATATCCATTTAGAAGATTTACCAAATTTATGGAATTAATACTGTGGATAGTATAGTATATCCCTGTTTATTTTAACAGACATTCGAGAAGTATTTAATACTTATCGTTTATTTATTTATATCATATTATTAATTGAAAAGTTGATGTGACCACACAGTTTAAAATAATGATGGAAAAAATTAACCCACAGTCCCATGCTATAATGTAAATCACTTTCTAATCCTGTTCCATATGCCTTTATATTTAACAGAGTTGCAAACATACTATACATACTACTTTGTACCCCTAACACTATAAAGTTTTTTCCTTGTTTTCACAATCTAAATAATTACTTGATATTTATGAATAATAATTGTCAAGTCAATGTGTTCAAATTTACTAAACCATTCTGGTTTTGTTCTCAATTAGATTGTTTCCAATTTTTTATTTTAGATAATCCTGCATTGAACATGTTTATGTCTAATAGTCATTTCCATTCAACTAGTATCTTAGAAGACATTACAAAGGATGTGATCACTGGGTTAAAGGTTATAAATCTTTCTATGGCTCATGCTACAAGTTGTAACACTTTTTGCCAGCAAGGATATGTCAGTGAAGTAGTTTTACTTTAACTTCATCCTTATTGAATCTTATCTAAATTCTTCATAAGTTAGTAGGCACTAAGTAGTATTAGAGGGTTGCTTTAGTTTGCATTTCTTCCATTAATGGCAAGGATAAACATTTTTCCACGTATCAGGTTTTTGTATTTCCCCTTAAATGATTTGCCTGTTCATGTCCTTTGCCTGTGTGTCTGTTGGGTTCCTGATGTTTTTCTTAATTAATTTATATTATTTCTTCATAAATTATACCTAATGCTTTTTTATGTTTTGTGTACTTCCTATTTTTAAAATGAAAAATTTTCTGTTTTGAATAAATTAATATTCCTAAAGCTGTCTTTTGGATAAATGTTAAAGGTTACATCTTTATTTTAGTTAAGACCTGAACTTTTTTGTTCTTAGCATTGTCAATTTGTTTGTTTTAATTTATAGGGCAAAACATCAGAGGCTCTTGCAAAGCTAATTTCACTACAAGCTACAGAAGCAACTATTGTAAATCTTGACTCTGATAATATCCTCCTGAGGTATTTATCTTCACTCTTTCCCCTTCTCTTTTTTTTTTAACTTCTTGTGAAAAATTTCAAATATACACAGAAATAGAAGAGTATCATGAACCCACATAATCTATCTCTCAGATTTAATAATTATCCACATTTTGCCACACTTTACCTATCCATTTCTCTTTATTTCCGTTGTTTCAGTAGTATTTTAAAGCAAATATCAGTCATATCATTTTACTACTAAATATTTCTGTAGTATCTCTTAAAAATCACATATTCGTATATAACTATAATACCATATTGTTCCTAAAAGAATGAATAATAATTCCTTAATGTCACCTAATACTCACCCAATCCATATTTCACATTTCTCCTGTTCTCTCCAAAACGTTTTTAAGTCTCTTTGTTTGAAATAGAATTCAAACAAGGTCCATGCATCACTGCATTTGACTATTATGTGTCTTAACATTTCTTCTAATCTAAAAGAGATCCTCCCTTCCTTCTTCTCTTTTTCCCGTCTTCACTCCTCCCCCCAATACAATTGACTTATTGAAGAAACATCCTCCTCCCCTGCAATACAGTTGACTTTTTCAAGAAACATTCATCAGTTGTTTTGTAGAACATCCCACAATCTGAATTTGTCTCTTTGCTTCCTTATGGTGTCATTTAACTTGTTCTGTAACTTCTGTGTTACTTGTAAATTGGAAATTAGAGCTAAAGATATGATTAGTTTCCTTCTTTTGTATTTCTCATTTTTATGCTCAAAATGGTTTAGGCAAATTTACACAATAAATAAATTGTTCAGTTAAATGAAATTCATTACATTATTTTTGAGAACTTTCAATTCTAATATTTACAGTGCCTACTTTGTGCCAGGTACTGTGCTGTTCACCAACAGTGAGCAAGAACAGCATAGTAGTTCCTATCTTAAATGTTGGTTCTAACTTCCACTGGAAGTAATTATGGAGCCACAAGCTTGACATGAACTAAAAATCTTGCACAGGGAGGTCAGGGTAAGAAACATATTATCATGATGTTTTTTATGTTAACTCATGTCCAGTGAAGAACAAGTGGATGTGGAACTTGTACAACGTGGAGACATCATTAAGGTCGTTCCAGGAGGCAAATTTCCAGTGGATGGTCGTGTTATTGAAGGACATTCTATGGTAGATGAGTCCCTCATCACAGGTACATTCTTTCAGAGGATTGTGACATGAAAGTGAAGTGAATCCAAAGTGTTAATGAAAAACAGGCATGAAAGGTGCAGATCTTTTTGTAGAAACTATGAGAAACTAATTAGAAAATATGAGCAAAGAATATGGGTTCTTTTTAAGATTGTATTGAATCAATTTCCTCAGATTTATTTTGTGGTTTTAGTTATGCTATTGAAAGCTCTTTTCACTGAAGATTGTTAATTACTAGAATGCATAACCAAAGGAAATTGTCTCAGTTTCCCGTACAGCCTGATAGACTTTGGCAAATTTTCCTGAGCAAATACCTATTCTATCTTCTTGCCCTAAAGACTGGTCTAGTCTGAGCTAGGATAGGACTCTAGATTTTCCACATCAGAGTCTGCTCTAAGAAAGTAGGCCTGGAGTAGTTTTAGAGATCTCAGGTAACTAAGACCAATCTGGAGCAGAACCCAAAATAACACCTTTCCTACCTCAACTCTCCAGATAGTCCCAGGAGAAGCTCAGCTTACGGACCATTTGGAAATATTTTACGACTCTGTGTTTCTCAGTAGGGGTGCCGTTGCCATTTTGGATGGGGCAATTCTTAGTTCTGGGAACTGTCTTACACACCGTAGTACAATTTAGTGTCCCTGACCCTGGCCCACTAAATTGTAGTAGCAGTACCTCATGCACCCCGCCCCCAGTCATTAATACAAACAAAAACTTCCTCCCACATTTCTATATGCTTCTTGAGAACAGGTTGAGAGCCAGTGATCTAGGTCTAGGGTGAAACTCCAAAAGGATCTGCTAACAAGAGCTGACCTAATAGGTTTTTCCAGTTTAAGGTGTGTATCCCTAGGTTTGGCCTAGAACTGACATAAGGAAAAAGGGAGGGCAACTTTCACCTAGGCATTTCATGAAGTAAAAATCTCCTTTCTAGATGTTTTTTGGCAGTTAACAAATAACATGTTTTAAGATAGTGATCTTTTATGCTCCCTAAATCTATCTTTACTCTTCATACAGGGGAGGCAATGCCTGTAGCTAAGAAACCTGGCAGCACAGTGATTGCTGGTTCCATTAACCAGAATGGGTCATTACTTATCCGTGCAACCCATGTTGGAGCAGATACAACCCTTTCTCAAATTGTCAAACTTGTGGAGGAGGCACAAACATCAAAGGTGACTTAACTCCCTAGGAGAAACAGAAAGTTTTTTCTTAAAAGCCTTCTCAGTATAAACCTTGATCTAGTTTTTACATATTCCGTTGATAAATTTTAGTTGCATTAATGTAGAATTTATTAAAATATTCCTATTTGTGTTAACTACCAAATATACTCTATATTCAATATTAGAAAAGGAAACTCTGATATACTTATTGTTGTTATTTTTAATTCTAGGCTCCTATCCAACAGTTTGCAGACAAACTTAGTGGCTATTTTGTTCCTTTTATCGTTTTTGTTTCCATCGCTACCCTCTTGGTATGGATTATAATTGGATTTCTGAATTTTGAGATTGTGGAAACCTACTTTCCTGTAAGTGACTTGTAACAACACTTTACTACATGCAAAACAGTTTGTGAATCTTTTGCACAAATAAATGGCAATAACTTTAATAATTACCTGTATCTTTAAGGGGCTGGAGTGGGAGGATGATAAGAATAACATTTACATTACGATAAATATAAAAGATTTCCTTTCGGAAAAAGTTTTTGGTTATGACTTTGATTTTCCAAAAGCAAGTACTAAACTTTTACATTTTATATTTAGTCTCATTTCCAGCATGAGTTTGCATTCACAAAGGACTATAGATGTATTGAGGAAAACCTCAGGATCTCAGCTCTGCCATTTACCATCAGTGTGATCTTAGACCACTTAATTGCTCCCTGAGCTTCAGTTTCCTTATCTATAAAGTGAGGTTTTAATAATACCCATTCTGCATAACTTGCAGTTGTTGTGAAGGTTAAATAAGATAATATATTAGAAATACTTTATAATTTATTAAATGCTTTTCAAATATAAGATAATATTAGTACCTACTCATCTAGTTCTCTGATGTTCTCTATGGTGTCAGAAAGTGGCAAAGTAGGCCTGGCTTGTGCCCGAAATTAGATGTATAACTTTTAAGTCACTTAAATTCTCTTACCTTCAGCTTTCTCATCTGTAAAATAGGGATAATAATACCTACGTTACAGGACTGGATTTAGTGTAGGTGAAATCAAACAACAAACATGAAGATATACATAAATGCTATATATGAAAGCATAAACCTAGATATCCATAAGCCTAGATATCTATGAGAGTCCCTTCCAACTCTGTTTCTTTATAGATCTACAACTCCTAGATGAAACATTTAAGTATTTCAAAACTTAGTAAGAACCTAGCATTGTAAAACCATTACTACTAAGAAAGTCTCACTTTGTTGTGTTTCTTTATTTTAAAAAAATGCCATGCTATACACTGTTTCATGCTGTTTTTTTTCTTTCAGTTAAAGAACAAAGCAGAATCATAACAACTATATATCTATTCATGTTATGGTCATTAATATAAAAAAGTTTCTTTAAACAATTCATGTCTGTTAAGTACACATTGAACAAGAGGATTGTTGGGAAGTATTTTGGAATATGTATTCTTAAGGAATTTTTCTCATGAGATCAAGCAGTCTTAGGAGATTTCCCCCAAAGCTACCAATCATATTTTCCCACATTAGCAAACACTCAGTATCACTAAGAGCTTAACTAGCAGATATACTTGGTTCACATTGTTATGTCTGAAAGGATTTTGTTGAAATGTGATTAAGCTCCCTTTGCCTGCCGGGTGATTTTTTTCATTGCCTTTAAAGAATAGTGTGAAAAGTAGATTTATGGTCTTAGTGTACAGAGATTCAGAATTCTATTTGTTCGGGATCAAATTTGTTGAAAATTATGTTCCACGTTTGCAGCTATTCCTGAGAGTCCCTAATAAAAACATTCTCAATATAGAGCAAAAAAAGAGAAAAAGTAAAATTTTATGTTTCTT